ATCAGCATGGGACTGTGCGCAGGGAGAAGGGATGGTGCATGGCAGAAGTGATGGCCCAGCAGGGATCCCCAGCAGGGATCCCCAGGGGCAGCCGGCTCAGGATGGTGCCAATGGGGTCTGGGCGCTGCCAGGGTCTGCCTGATTGAGAAGGGACCACAGGGACTGTGCCCCATCCATGCTTGGGTGCTGGAGCCAGGGCAGGCGGGCTTGCAGGGGCCAGGACTGCTGGAGGAGAGGGTGGGCTGGAGGAGTGGGATGTGGGGACAGGGGCAAGGGGAGGGCTGGGATGAGGTGGGTGCTTTCTCTCCAAGGAGGCTGGGGGGTTCAGGCCAGGAGCAACCTCCACTCTGCCCAGGGAGGAGGAAGAAGCATGCGCCAGGAGAGGGAGCACAGCCGAACAGGTGATGGAGAGCCCAGAGGACCTACAAGATCTGGCCCCATGGGCACATGTGCCTCCCTGTGCCCATCATCATCCCCACCCCCATCCTGCTGGGCTCCTCCTGCCTGTCCCTCCTCCGGGAGCCCCCAGCAGCCCTGGTCTGTGGTGCAGTGGAGGGATGTCCCCAGGTCCCCCATCCCTGGCCATGTACCCTTGCATGCTGCAGCAGTGCCAGGGCAGTGCTGGGCTGCTCCGCATCTGCAAGGGGTGGTTTTCCCCAGGAGGCAAGGGGGAAGCACCCCAGGCCCCCTTGCCTCCTCCCTGATGCCTGTGCTGTGTCCTTCCCCCTCACAGGGCTCTCTGCCACCCAGCCGTTCCCCGCTGGCAGCGCTCACTCGGTCCCTGTGCTCAAGTTGTCACACACTGAGGAAGAGAAGGGTGAGTGTCATCCCTGTGCTTTTAGTCCCCATTCCCCTTTTCCCTTGCTCCGTCTTTGTGGCCGGTCATGTCCCTGCCCTCCACTCACAGGCACTGAGGGATAATCCATCGATGGCCATGCTGCTGGTCCCAGGGGGCTTTAATTAAAGAGCGGGGAGAGGAGAGGGCAGCAAGGAGTGTGTGTGCATGTGTGTGTGCATGTGCAGGTGTGTGCAGAGCCAGGGCCATGGCTGGGGGGAGCAGGACAGAAGGGATGGAGTGGGAGGCGAGGCTGCTCACGCCCAGCGCTGTCTCCCAGGGCAGGACAGGCAGGTCATGCTCAACACTGACGACCTTGAGTACGAGAGCATGTATGGGGAAGAGGAGGAGGACTACGATGAGGTCCCAGAGATGGACAGCTTGGAGCAGCCTGCGATGAGCGGTGAGCTTCCCTGTGCCCACCTGGCGCCGAGGACGGAGCCAACAGGGGCGACTGCGGGGCTGCCCGGGCTTTGCTGGGGTGATGCCTCTATGTCCCGCCTGGCAGCGGGTCTCCACACCCTCTGGCTGGGGGCATTGGGGATTTGCAGCCCTCTTGCTGGCACCCAGGCGGGTTGTGTGTTCCCCATGACAGCACTGCTGCGCACACCATGCAGACCTCATGCTCCATCCCCCCTCACCAAAGCAGTCACCAGCAGTGATGGGTGGTTTGCTGGGCTGGTGGGACCTGCTGCCCCTGGCAGGTTTCCTATGCTCCTGGTTATGAGCCACAGGAGGGGATCCCAAAGCCCCCAGGAGAGCAGGGAAGCCCTGGGCAGCAGCGGCAGCATGTAGAGGGTCTTTTTGGTACCTTTCCAAGGGATGCTGTGGCTGTCATGTCCTCATGCCACCTCCCTCCCAGCTCTATCCTCAGCATTTGCTGGGAGCTGCCCCTGGGAGAGGGCTTGCCCAGAGCAGCATCTCCTGCCCTCTCTCCCAGCCCTTGGGCAGGGCAGGAGAGCAGGGAAGCCCTGGGCAGCAGCGGCAGCATGTAGAGGGTCTTTTTGGTACCTTTCCAAGGGATGCTGTGGCTGTCATGTCCTCATGCCACCTCCCTCCCAGCTCTATCCTCAGCATTTGCTGGGAGCTGCCCCTGGGAGAGGGCTTGCCCAGAGCAGCATCTCCTGCCCTCTCTCCCAGCCCTTGGGCAGGGCACAGAGATGTC